TCTTCAAACTGTGTTGGATGTTCTAGCCAGGGCAATTAAACAACAAAAAAAGATTAAACAGGATCCAGACTGGAAAGGAAGTAAACTGTCTCTATTTGTAGATGACTGATCTTGTATGCAGAAAATTCTAAGGAATCCACTAAAAAACTATTTAGAATTAGTAAACAAATTCAGTGAGGTTACAGGTTACAGTATCAACATACAAAAATCAACTGTATTTTGATACATACACAAAGAACAATCCAGAAATAAAATTACAGAAAATAATTCCACTCGTAATAGTATCAAAAATAAATACTTAAGAACAGATTTAACAACAACCAAAAAAGTTATAAAAAACCTACACAATGAAAACTACAAAACATTGTTCAAAAAGATTAAGGAAGATCTAAATAAATGGAATGACATCCCATATTCATGGACTGGAAGACTTTATATTGCTGAGATGGCAGTACTCCCCAAATTGATATAGAAATTGAACACAGTCCTTTCAGAATACTAGCTGTCTTCTTTGAAGGAACTGACACATTGGTCCTAAGACTCATGGAAGCTAAAGGAACACAGAATAGCCAAAACAGTCCTGAAAAAAAGGAACAGAGTTGGAGGAGTCACACTTTCTGATCTTAAATCTCACTACAAAGCTACAGTGTGGTGCTGGCGTAAGGAAAAACATAGAAAACAGAATTAAAGAGTCCAGAAATAAACCCATGTAGCCATGGTCAACTGACTTTTGACAATGGTGCATGATCATTAAATAGGGAAAGAATAGTTTCTTCAATAGTGTTGCTACACCTAGAAAATCACATGGACCAAAATTAAGTTGAACCTTTACCTTATATCATATACAAAAATTAACTCAAATGTTATCAAAGATCCAAACTATAAGAGCTAAAACTGTAAAACTCTCATTATAAGAAAACATAAGGGTAAATCTTTGTGATCTTTTATTTGACAATGGATTCTTAGATATGATACCCCAAGCACAAAGAAAAAAAGAAAAAACAGATAAACTGGACTTCATCAAAAGTAAACTTTTATGGTGCAAAGACACATCAAGAAGATGAAAAAATAATCCATAGAATGGGAGAAAATATTTGCAAATCATTATGTCCGATAAGGGACTTGTATCTAGAATATATAAAGAAATCTTAACTCAAAAAGACTACACAATTAAAAAATAAAGTATCTGAACAGACATTTCTTCAGCTCCAAGACAGGCAAATGGCCAACAAGCCCATGAAAAAGATGCTCAACATTATTAGTCAGTTATCAGGGAAATGCAAATGAAAAATAAAACGGATACCACTTCATATCCACTAGAATGGTGGAATCAAAATCAGATTATTACAAATGTTGTGAGATGTGAATAAATCAGAACTCTCGTACATTGCTGATGGGGATATAAAATGTACAGCCACTTTGGAAAACGGTCTGGCAGCTTCTCAACAAGTTAAAGTGTTACTGTTTGACCCAGACATGCCACTCCTGTCTAAGAGAAATGAAAATATATGCCCATACAAAAACTTGCATCATAACAGTATTATTCATAATAACCAAGAGTTGGAAACAATCCAAATTCTAAGAATGGATACACTAAATGTGGTGTATATCCACACAAGAGAATATTTTTAAGCAGTATAAAGGAAGGAAGTTCTGATACACGCTACAATGTGGATGAAACTTGAACAAATGCTAAGCGGAAGAAACTGAACACAGAAGACTGCATACTGTGTGATTCCATTTAGATGAAATGTCCAGAATAAGCAAATACATGGGAAAGATAGTAGATTAGTGGTTGCCTAAGGCTGGGGGAACATGGGGGTTGGGGAGTGATAGCTAAAGGGTGTGAGTTTCTTTTTGAGGTGATGAAAATGTTCTATAATTGACCATGGTGATAGTTGCATAACTGAACATGTTAAAAACTACTGACTTGTACATCTTACATGGGTGAACTGCATGGTTTGAAAATTTTATCTAAATAAATCCATTACCAAAACAATAACAACAACAACAATAACAATAATAAGCTTTTTATTCATTTCTAAGTCTGAAATTTTTAAAATTTAAACTGTATCCAAATTCTTTTTACAAACCACCACTTCTGGTACCTTCAAAGTATCTTCTATCAGCCTTCCAAACTCTTCCATGGTTACTAGTTGTTATGACTATTGTTTTCTTTTTTCAAATTGCTTTAGAATCAATTTTGAGCTTATATTTTGCTAGCTATCATTCACTTCACCTAGATTTTCCAAGTTTTAATACCATGCACTGTCTATCCTCTCAATCTGCTCTATACTCTCTTTCTGCCTCCTATCAGCTCTCAACCCAAGAGCCTCACTTTGGCAAGATTCCTATAGCTTCTCTGTTGCCAAAGCCAATGGACATTTTCCTTATTATCTTTTCAGATCTTTCAATGGCATATGCCAATCCTGAATCTCATCAACTACCCACGCCAGATCTCTAAGCCCATCCCACTGTTGAGAATCCCTGCACTGAGAAAGTCCAGAGACGAATTTGATGGGCATCGAAAAAGTGAGAAATTCTACTTCCTACACTCCACTTGGCTGCTTTCATTTGCTCATAAATCCCATCAGCCTCCTCCAGAACAACAGCCAAGCCTCTCTAGCCCAGACCTGGTCCTGGGTCTCTCAGCTCTCTCCCTATTGCATAGCCCTACCACGCCAACCTGATCTCTAACAGCCACCTCTAACTCAGGATGTCACTCATTCAACTGAAAAAAAAGCCACCTACTCTGACTACTGTGCTAGGCACTGGGGATACACTGCAAAACAAGACTTTGTTCAATTTCTTGCCAAACTTGCTCCTTTTCCTGTACCATATACTGCCCTCCCCGTTTAAGTGGCACCACTGTCCACCAATTAAACAAGCCAGAAATGAGACATCCCAGACTTCTGGTCACTCCCTCATGCTGACTTCCAATTTACTTCCTTAAACAGCTCTTCTCTCCTGCCCATCTCTTCATCTCTAAGGTGGAGGCACACCTCTGTCTTGATACTGCAGCAGCCCCTCATTGGCCTCCGCCTCCCTCCCACACCAGGCGCCCAAAGTTTCTAAGCCAACACCAACTCTAATCCTACTAGTCCCCACTTTAAAACTTTGGTGCCTGTAGGAGAAAGACCAGGCCCCTCAGCCCAGCCCTTGTGAACCTCTTAAGTCCAATGCCTCCTCCAACTACACGTCCACCATACACTTCTCCCTATTTGGTTTCTGAACCTAATCTGGCCGTTGGCCTCTATGCACAAGGAGGTCCCCATAACCCACAGCCTACTATCCTTAAGATCTGGATCTGATGCCACCACCTGCCAGGTACAGTCCCATTTCCCAACTCTCTCTGTAGCTGTGTTGACTGCACTGGGCTAGAAATGTCTGTTATCTGCCTGCCCCTGCAGGCCCCACAGTTCCTCACCTCCCTGAGGAACTTATAACCTCAGAACCTCCCCAACAGCCTCATCCAGTCAACCCACAGGATGGTGGGAGGGCACTGGTGGCCACTCACCCTGCGGTTCCGGTTGTGATCCATGGTCTTGAGGTGCTTCTGGATGATCCCAAACTGCATGGGAATGAAGAGGTCACAGGCTGCACAGTGGGCTGCCTCTACCTTCTTCACAAAATGCTCCATGGCAATTTCTGCAGAGGGGAGAAGAAGGGAGTAGCCACTGGTCCCAGGCACCTGAGAAGAACTCAGGAGTTTGGGGAAAACACCAGATCAACTCCTCACCTCGCCCTGCCACTTCCACGTGGGCCTGAGGCTGTTCTCACTGACCCTCCCTGGGGGAACAGAGGGGTGTCGTGACCCCACTCTGAGAACCAGAGGAGGGAAGGCTGAGGCCTTGACTGACAGAAGTGGGACGGAACCTCCTCACCTTGGGTCAGATCTTGGTCTCTGTAGATCTGCTGGATCAGACCATCAAGGTCCTCCACTGTTTTTCGGAGCTCCTCTGTCTTCTTGGTCTTGTTGGTGACGTACTCCTGCCAGAGATATCAAGGAGGTATCAAGGTTTGCATGGGCTGCTCTATGTCCTGAGGGTAAGAGCAGCTGTACCAGTCCAAGGCTCACCTGCAGGAAGTCAGCCGTCTGCTTGGGGAGCTTGGTGCCTACGTACTTAAAGTGTTCCTTGTGAAACTTGCTGTCGAGGTGGCTGGCCATCTCATCCTCGTAAAAGGTCCGGTATTTGCAGAGAGAACACACAAACTGGATCCTGTCACAGGAGGGAAATGAGAGGCTGAGAATCGAGAGGGCCTTAGGGAACAGTGCTGCCGCCTCACCCAACCCAGCTGCGAGCCCTGTAACAGGCCTTGCTCACAGGCCTCTGAAGTGCGGTCCCAGCAGGGGGACAGGCTGGGACCAGTGGGGTTGGGAGTAGAAAGGGACAGAAAGTCTGCAGGCTGCAGTTACTGCAACATAAGGGACAGGGAGGAGCTTTTCCTTCCCACGGCAGGAGGCTGAACCCTGAGGCAGCAGCTGCTGCAACAGGCAAGGAGTCGCTGGAAGGTTGCCGGACGGCCTCTCTACCAAGGCTGGGCGGGAGCTTGTGTACTTGGCCCAGCTGGGGATCAGAAGGAAGGACGCCCTGGCGTGAGCCAGGTGGCCCTGAGGTGCAGAGTGGAGTACGCAGTCCTGAGGCAGGGCCCGAAAAGGTGCTGCATCTTCCTTCTGGGGTCTGAGGGACTGAAAGGCCCAGCCCATCCTCTGCTCAGAATGCTTGGGGGTGGTGTCGGGAGGGATGGGAGGCAAGCAGGCCTGGGCACCTGCTGCCTCATCTTCCTCTTCTGAGAAGAGACCAGTCTGAGCTGGAAGGAGGGTGCCCGCCTGGCCTGCCAGAGGGCAGCCTGGAGTCACCTGAGCGAGGTGCTCTGTCTGGGCCTGGTGTCCACAGCAGAAGCCCGGGGTCTGGGGCCTGGGCTGGAGCAGGCCGCCGTGGCAAGGGGCGGAGGAGGCCAGCCGCCACCGAGGCCTCGGGGCAGGTCCCTACCTCTGCCGGACGTCCTTATCTGGGCCACGGGGTCAGCTTTGTCTGGAGAGCCCAGGGGCCGGGCGCCGGCGAGGCTGAGGAAGGTCCAGCAAGAGCAAGAGTCTGAGGCGGAGGAGGAGGAGGCAAGCGCCAGTGCGGGAGCCCTGAGGGCAGACAGACCCGACCAAGGGGCGTGAAGGGCTCAGCCGCAGACAGGCCCGGCCTGACGGGGCCGGCGGGCAGGGCAGAGGGCAGGCCCGAGGCTGCCACAGCCCACAGGTGCTGCCATCTCTTCTGGGCGCGGTGGCGGCCTCTTGGCAGCTAGCTGGGATGGCACAGGCGCCTTGGACCTCGAGTCTCTGATGAGCTGGCCCCCTCCCGCAGGGGCATCAGGCCCCCAGTGCACCTCTGGGCTCGTGCGCCGAGTGACCTAGCGCCGGAGCTTCTGGGCAACGGTGCTGAGCAGTGTCAGGTCTCAGGCCAAAGACGCTAGCGGTCGCCAGGCGGCCGCAGAGGGGCAGGGGGACGAATCAGGCCTTGGGAGCTAGGCCTGGCAGAAAGCAGGGTCCATGCACGGCCGAGCAGGTTGCGGCTCCCAAGGGAGGCCAGAGGGCGGCGAGGCAGCAGAGCCATGGCCCTGCTCTCCTGGAGGCAGCCCCAGAGCGAGGCAGAGGCAAAGGGGTGGTGGGAAGCTGGTTACCTTTCCACCATGCGGTCTCGCTGCCGCTTTTTCTGCTTATCCTGGCTCTTCTTGCCTGCCTGCAACTTGTGCTTGGTCTGGCCACTCTCATCCTGGGTGCTCAGGGCCCCTGTGGGAGCAGAGGGTCACAGTCACCAGTTTGTGACCTCTGGCTGGATCACCCACCGTCTACTTCAGAGGGTCCGCTTTGAGAGCAGCTGTCCGAATAAGGCCTCTGGCTGCGAGCAGAGCTGGGTACCCTGGGATGGGCAGGGAGTGATTTTGGCCTAGGCCCTGAAGATGGGAGAACCCATGCTGACTCCACCACTTTCCAGGACACTCACACTCTACAGAGTGGGCCACAGGGAGGCTGGAAGGTAAAGAGAGGCTGTCTTGGTGGGGACACTGGCATAAGTTCAAGGGGTCAGGTGGCAGGATGTAGGAAGGCCTTGGCTGCAGCCTAAGTGCAGACCCCAAGGATAAAGACCCCAAAGCTCACATGGCCCTGCCCACCCCACACTGGGCACCGCGGCAAGTGGGCTAAGGCTGGATTGACTGTCAGGTACCTGCTGGCGCTCATCACTCGAATAGGGGGACACGGATTCCCAACGGGGGCTGTAGAGGCGCTAAGGGAGGACACGCAAACCAGAGCCGTAAAAACTGCACCAAGGGTCCCAGCTTGGACAACAGCCACCGAGGACTTGGAACTGCATGTTACTGAGGGCCTCAGGGCAGGGGGTTTGCCTGGGGTTCCCCCACGCTTTGGCTTGCTGCCCCAACCTGAAGGCAAAACCAGTGTGCTAGGCAGGGGCCATCGCCACCCATAGCCTCTGCCTGGGAAGAATAGGGGCAGAGTGCAAAGGGGGTAGAGGAAGAGGAGCCCCCTACCAGCACATACCCAGCCACATAAAGGACGGCCCAAGCTGGCATTTCTGCCACAACCCTGCCCTCAGCCAGACCCCCTCCCACCACAAGCACCTGGAAGAGCCACCCCAGCACCCGTGCCACTCAGAAGACTCACCCTTCTCTGCATCCTCTTTGCCTTCTTCCTTCCCCTCCTCTTTTCCGTCTTCATCCTCTCCTTCCTAAGACACAATTTCAAAAATTCAATGTTAAAGCATGTGCAGTTGTTCATGATGGCTGTAAGGACAAGGCCCTGCTACAGGCCAGGCACTGAGCCAAAAGCCTCACATCCTCCCAAGAGCCCTTGCACACAGACTCATTCTGCTGTTTTCTCATAAGAAAATGCACCCTCTGGCTCAGTGGCCTGCTGGCAGCCTGTGCTCTCTACTAGACCTCTGCCTCCTTGTGCTAGTCGTGTGTGCACACAGAGCTAACTCAGGCTGGACTGCAGCTCCCGTGGAGAGGCCTGTTCTATGGCACCGGGGCTCAGGCAGCCCACTGTTCACAGGCCTCATCTGCAGACAGAGAGTGCAGGGCTGGGGCCACTTACTGCTCTGAAGCCCTTGTCCACAGCCTCGGTGCCTTCAGTGCCCTCTGCAGCTTCCCCCTCAGTACCCTCATCTGAAAGGTAAGAAGAGACAAGCTCAGCCCAGGAGCCCCACGGGGCAGAGGCCCGGGGGCAGGGACCCAGTGCCCAGGCTCACCATTATCTGAATCACTGTTATCAGAGCAGTCTGTCCGGGTGGCTTTGCTGTCCGGCTCGTCGGGACTGCCGCATTGCTTTCTCTTCTTTTTCTTGGTCTGGGTCAGAAAGAGGGAGCCAGGTCAGGGTGGGTGGCTCCAGGCCCCTCCCTCTGCTCAGCCACAGACCAACAAGCCCTCCTCCACTTACCCGGAAGTCAGCCGTGGTCCAGGTCTTCCAGGTCCGCCTCATCTGCTTCATGCCATTGCCAAACCCAAAGCCAAAGCGGGAGCCACCAGGAAAGGTGCTCCCGCCACGCATGCCCTGGAACATGCTGTACTCAGGGATGATGTTCTGGGAGAAGAGGGAGGGCAGCCGGGAGGCACCAGGCATGCACTGGCCCCGGGCCCCCATGGGGTCTTCCCACATGCGCCCATAGCCCGAGGCCACTGGCCGGCCACTCCGGGAGTCCCGGGCCCAGCCCGGAGCCCGTGGGCCAAAGGTGTCGCCGCCACGCATGCGGAACTGGTCGCGGTAGGCATCGTACTGGCCCTCATAGGCCATTTCCATCTCAGGGTCAAGCTCGCTGTAGTCATAGCCCGACCGGTAGAGGTCACGCTCGCTCAGGACAGCCCTTGAGTCACAGGCCTCGTAGGAATCATATCTGCAGAGGCAGGTGGCAAGCATCAGGGAGGCCCTCAGGTCCCATCACCCTACTGCTCCTGCCTTCCCCAGAGCCTCCCTGTCCTGGGGATAGGGAGCCCCACACCAGCATCTACCCCGCCCTATCATGGAGGCTCAATGTTCAGAAATGCCAATTAAAAGGCCTCTCAGGAACACAGTTCTAGAAGCAGGAAAGGTCCCTCCGCTGATATCCCCAAGCCTGCATGTGGCCATACACCAGCTTGAGAACCTTAAGAAGTACTGAAAACTAGAGTGAAGTACATCTCAGGGGAAGAGACAGCCCACAGCCCATAGCCAACAGGAAATGTGCATGTGTCTTCAGTAGCCACAACGCCACGCATGGCATGCTCCTCGGGGGCAGAGGCAAGCACCCTAGCATCCTGCAGTACATGGGCGGTCTAGCACATGAATTTTTGTCTTCTGGGGCTGGTAACACCCGTGAGACACTTACAATGCCTCCCAAGGCCTTCACCACTCAAAATGAAAAGGAAGATAAAATGAGGAATGTTTGCCATGAAAGACACTGCAAGCTTGCCCAGGGACTAGAAAAGAGCTCTTGTGATGAGCTCTTATCAACCCTGGAGCCCAGGACAGGGCATCAAACCTTACAAAGCAACTGGGAAGGCAAGCTAAATATTCCGTGTAGGGAAGAGAGGGCATCAGAGAGAGCTGTTCTAATCATGGCTGCAGCCCACAGGCCCAGACCTCACATGTCTCCTTGCCAAAGCAGGGCAGTCAAGAAGCACCAGCAGCTGTGAGAGAAGCGGCCAGTGCTACCCAATTGCCACTCCATACTTCAGCCCTGCTCTCTGGCTCCAGGTTGTTGCAAGAAGGTACAAAGGCAGCTGGCACCAGCAACAATGCCAGCCCAAGTCAACCCCTGCCTTTCATAGCTTCAGCTCCAAGCACCATGACTGCTGGGCACAAGGGCAGGGGGTGTGCTGGGTCTCCCCACCCAACTTTTTGCTTACTACAGAGCCCATGCAAGCAAAAGTCTCCTTGGCACCCTCCCCTCTAGTGGCCCCACCAGTGCCTGGCCAGGCTCCTCCTTAATCTCTGCTTTCCCCCATCTGTCAGTTGTCATTAGGCCGCTCCACTCCATCCTGTGCCAGAAATACGAGTGCCCTCCTCACTGAAAGCCCTCAGTAGTGTACAAGAACTCCTGGGCCAGCACCAGTTCAGACAATAACAAATACCCACAGCATAATGCTATGAGGTAGGACAGATCTCAGTGGGAGGCCCAACTCCACCATTCACTCCTGGGTGCCTATGGGCAAGAGGTGTGACCTGCCTGTGCTTCACTTTCTCCATCTGCAAAATGAGACATCAACACTTCCTCACGGGGGCACTTCTGAGGCTCAACAGGTACACATTTATAAAACACCAAAGGGTGGCCAGGAAGTGTCCCTTATGCCCCTCATGTGGACTGGCCCAGCTGGCTGTGATCAGTCCCATAGGCTCATCCCATCCTTCACAACCACTCCAATCTGTCCTGCCTTGATAAAGTATCACAAGGACTTCAAATGGGTGTCTCCAGAGGGAGGAACCACTGAACACTGTTCCTGAGAAGAGCCATTCGGCAGGTACACTGAAGCCAGCCTAGTCTGAGCTTGATCCTCCCTCAACAAGCTGGAGGAGAGGCTCATCACCAGGCAGCAGGGTGAGGATGGAGGGAAGAGGGGTCACAGGCCAGAGAAGAGAAAGTGCACTGGACCCCAAGCAGTCTCTGGGAAGCCCCAGTAGCAGAGTAAGGAGGAGAAAGCAGACACAAGAGGCAGGTCAGAAGAGGGAGATGTCAGGGGACAATGGTCAAGAGGTGACCCTGCAGAGCCTCAGCCCCTAGGCAGGTGCCCACTCACCTTTCTCCACTTGAGCCGTACACGCCTCCTTGTATCATGTCTGTCTCCAAGTGCGGCACCATATCTAAGCGCTGGTTAATTCTGGACAAAACGGAATCGGCACTGGTGCTACCCATGGCACTAGGGTTTGCATTTGTGTCAGAGTTAGGCATTTCCCAAGAGTTTGAAGTGGCCATACCATACCCATAGTTGGTGGTGTTATCCTGGCCATAGCCATAGCCATAACCATAGTTCTCGTAGCCTGCAATGGGGGAGACAGAAAGACAGACAGACAAGATGGTGGGGGCAAGGAGAGGCAGACAGAGAGACAAACAGAGACAAGAACATCTTCGGTCACAGAGACAAGCCGAGGACCCTGGCCACCTAAGGCTGGGTGGGCCCAAGTCATTCTGATAAGTCCTCTTGTGAAGGAGGAGCTGGCCCCAGGGCACCTGGGGTCCCCAAAGGCAACCCCCTACCCTGAAACCTTGGCTAAGCTGGGCAGTGGCAGAAAAAAATCAACCAGTTCAATCCCAAGGGAGAGGAGAGTGACCATGGGAGTGATACTTACCTCTGTTTGTCCCAGAGTTCCAAGTTCCATATCCTACAAAAAGTAAAAGGGCAATTACGTCCACAATTGCTTAATACAAGAGTTTAATTCAGGCACAAAGACAATGATTCCCAATACCTGAGTGGTTACAGGAGACTGAACCTCCCCTAACCGAGATGCCTTGAGCTTGAGAGCACTACATAAATGACCCAGGCCACCTGCCACCCTGGTGCTCAACCTTTTGTGACTCTGACCATCTGCTATTTAAGGAACCTCCCATTCCCAATTCTCTCCGCTAAGGAATTAGGCTCCTATATCCCTTCCTTGAAAACCTAGAATTGGAAGATTACTTCTGCCCCTAAGCAACAATCAGAGACAGAGAGCAGTTTCCAGCACCTCACACAGACCCTACGCTGTACGAGAAGCTCAGCAGAGCTCATATCCACTCTGAAATTATCACTCATGTCACCTGACAAAGCCATCTGGGGCAGAGAAACTGACCACCCTCGTTCCACATATGTCTGCCTTAACAGGGGGAATCACCGAGTCCCTGAACTGTGTGAGTGTGCTGAGCTGGAATGCAGCAGCACAGGGAAAGACAAGACACTGCTCCTAGCTTGCAAAAAGCTGTTGAGAGAACAAACTGGATTATAAACTAAATACTTGGATTTTATCACAGCATATTTAAAAAATTGATTCCTTCGGACACATAAAGCCACTGAGAACTGAAAAAGTGGAAAGCCAAGTGAGAGCTGAGTCATGCAGACACAATTCCTCCCCAGGGGAGTCCATGAAAACAGGTGACCATTTTCACAGTGTCTCTGGTGGGACCCAAGAGTCACCTTCTACTCCACATTGTCTCTGCCCTACAGACAGGCCGTGTTCATTCTAGGGCAGGAGACCAAAGCTCAGTGAGATGGCAGTGTGATGAACAGCAGAATCCAGCCACAGGAAAGCAAGAGTGTATACACTGAGAAGACGAACCAGGGTGAACAGGGGTAGGGGTGGGGCAGGCAGGTCAAGGTCCTACGCTTAGGTTCCTCCTTCGGTGCACAAACGAATGGGGAGGTGTCTGAAGCCAACGAGGAACTTTGGACGACCACTATTTTAATGAACCAAGGGCATGCGAGAGTTCACAAAGCAAAAATCCTTTTCAGCTGGAGAAACCAAAGCAGAGGCTTCTCATCCATCTGCTTATTCAACAATTATCATGCTCAGAGTGCACGGAACAGAGGCTTGCAGCCCTGGGCACTCCTCAGGCCTGGAGCACTGTGTATTAAAGGACACGCTAAATAGAGAAGCAAGGGCCAGCAGCTGGAAATCATGTAAGGAGTGAGTGAGCAGCAAACGAGGTGTTCTTACAGGCAAGAAGAGACGCGGGCAGAGCCACAGAAGGAATAACACACACTTAGTCTCAGCAGCTAACAAGAGCCTGGCCACATGCCTGTTTGCACCCAGGACAGTGGACACTAGCTATTCAAAAAGAGACAGGACTGGGAGGCAAAGGCAGACCCGTTGGGGCCATGCTTGTGAGGGTAGACTATGATGGTCCTGCCCCACACCTGGCTTCAGCTGCTGAGGACTTGCCAGAATGCAGTAAGGAAGCAGAAGGAAGCAGGAGTGAGCGTTAACTGTAAGCACAAGGACAGGCCAGCGGCTGCTATGACAGGGCCTCAGGCAAGCACTTCCTATGTGCTACCTGCTAGGCCTGGAGCAACTCAGACTCCCTGATGGGCTCCCCAGACAGGACCCTTCAGGGGAAATCTTTTTCTATATTATGTTCTTTGAGGACTCCCTAAGACCTGACCCTTGCAAAGGAACATCAGAATTCACTTCCATTCAGAGGGGAGTAGACCATGGTTGACAAAGAGAATTTTTGAGGATATAATTAATTTTTAAAAAGGGGGTAAAAAAAGAGAGTAAGGAAAACGAGATGGTAATAGCAGACAACACTTTAAGAGCAAAAAAAGAAAACCACGTAAATGTTCAACTTTATCGTAACAGTTAATCAGATTATAGCCACCCTTCTCAGTGATATCACACAGGCATCATAAAACAATCTACCAAGCCTTATTGCACAAGAAAATGCTTCTAACAGTAAGCAAAACAGGATACACAACTCTAGCCACGTATTAATTACTCAACTACCTAAAATAAGTATGCTGACAAAAGGTAAATATTAAAATGGTGGGATCTTGGTTGACTGTTTTTCAAAATGTTATTTAAATGTTGTTATATTATTCTTGCAATTTAAGGTAGAAGGAAAGTAAAACCATTCCTATTCCTTCACAACATGACTGTCTATGCAAAACAACTCAAAAAAATCTACAAAAAAAGAGTTACTAGTGAATGAGCTTAGCAATTTATTACAAGGTCAATATACAAAGATCAATCAAATTTCCACATACCAGCAATGAACAAATGGAACCTGTTAAAGTATCATATACCATAGCACCAAAAACATGAAATACTTAGGTGTAAATCTAACAAAATGGGTGCAAGATCTGTGTGTAAAAAACTGTAAAACACTAATGAAAGAAATCAAAGACCCAAATAAATGAAGTGACATACTATGCTTATGCACTGGAAGGTTTAATATTGTTAAGATTTTAATTCTCCCAAATAAACCTATATATTCAAGACCGTTTCATTCAACATTTCAGCAGGAATTTTTATAGAAATTGATGATTCTAAAATTTATATGCAAAAACAGAGGAACTAGAATAGCCAAGTCAACTTAGGAAAAAGAACAAATCTGGAGGACCCACAGTCACAAATTTCAAGACTTACTATAGTGATTAAGACAGTGTGGAACTAAAGGAAATTTAGACAAACAAATCAATGGAACAGAATTAGAGTCCAGATAGAGACACACACATATTATGTTCAACAAATTTTCAACAAAGGTAAGAAAGAATCTTGACCCATACCACACACCTGGTAGAAATATTAATCAAACTGGATCATAAAATAAATATAAAACCTAAGACTATGAAGCACCTAAATAAAAGCTTAGGAGAAAGTCTTTGTGACCTCAGGTTAGGCACCAAAGTCATGCTCTATTAAAGAAAAGATTGATAAAGTGAACTTAATCAAAATGAAGAACTTATATTCTTCAAAAGACACTGATAAGAGAGTAAGTAGACAAGCCCCAGTCTGGGAGAAAATATCTGCAAATGATACATCTGATTAAAAAGCCTGTACTCAGAATATATAAACCCGAGGGGAAATAATTCAAAAGAGATGTGCAGTTTGGGTCTATGACTGAAAAGTGGTGAGGCAGGGAGGGCAGGATAGAGAAGCCATGCAAACCAGTTTTTCCTCATTTACAAACCACCTCCTTACTCAATTTCAAAACATGTTAAGTCTCCCTCTCCCGCTGGGACTATCTGCTAATACTCCGGGGAGCTTACTTATGTCTACTTAATCAGTGACAACTGAGGGAATGTGACTGTAGGCTCAGTCTTTCCCAAGACCTTGACAGTAAAACCAATTACCCATCTCAGCAACCAACTCCAAAGGGGGCTCCTTCTTGACGGACAACTAGGATCACAGACCACAGAAGGGCTAATTTTACTGGCAGTTCTGGGCTGCTGAAGGACACCAACAGAACATCTATGGATCCTGTCCAGTGGCTGCTTCTGAATTAGAGATTTAGTGTTTCTGTCCACAGTTGAGAAATCAACGGGAAATTTTCCCTCAACCCTGTGTGTGAGGGGCCCGCTGACCTGAGATGGTCTGACTGTGTCTATAAACGCCTGCTAGATTCAGACAGGCCGCCTCTCCTGCACAGGGGTCCCATGCACTACCCTAGGGCTAAGTTAATGGCTTGGTTTCTGCTCAGAACAGTCCTCTGGACTTTGGCCACTCTCCTTTCCAGACCCTCAAGGGGATTTTCTGAAGACAGACGTTTGTCACAGACCACAGGTATTTCTAACAAAATGTCAAAGGGTCAAAGGAACCAATATTTACAGCCCCAAGAACTCCAGCTTGCTCAAAAACACAGACATCTTTCCCATAATTGCCCCCAAAGGGAAGTACCAGCTATTCCATCAGCCCACCACACCATTTTAATCAACTTTACATTTGGAAAAGACTGTATGACAGCAAGGTCAAAGGCAACTAAGAAAACATGGGATTGCTCTGCCACTAGAAGGAAAAGCACTCACTCTCCAGTTCCCAGGAACCCACACTTACCATAATCACAGGTGGGCTGAGCGCTCGTGTCTGAGTACGTCGACTGCAAAGTGGTTTCAGATCCCTGGACAAAGCCTAAACATATGTACAGTGTGGTTAAATTCCCCAGAAAGCCGCATGAAAATGACCTAAGACTACTCTTCAGTGGAGACTGGCTGGTAGGCCCTCCCCTCACTGGAAAGCCGCCAAAAACTCTAGCTTCTGAATATTTTAATAACACTTCTAGGACATATTAACCAATGAAAGGCAGGCTATGTTTAACTTGCTATGTCAGAACTAGATAAAAAATTTTAAACCTTTAAACCAGTATCTTGTTTTGATAAACAGGTACCCAAATTATTCAGTTAAATGAGGAAAATATTTTTATCAAATCACTGAAAGGTGAGCTCCAATTCAAAAAATGAGGGGGGTTAGTTTTGAACAATGTTAAGACAATTAATACCCCTTCCATTCCCCCAAATCTGAAACCAAAACAGCTTTGTACTTTTAGTTTTCCCATTAAAAAATGTGTGTATTATAATTATCTCTTAAATGTAATTACCTGGGCTTAGCAAGTTTATATGGAATAAGTATTATAGATGACATATACGTATATATACTATTTCCTATCTTCTCAATTTTCATTCTATTTCTCAACTTAAAATGAGTTAGTACCAAATAAGGAAAATCTGAACCTCTACCAGAAACTACTGCTCTTAAATGCTGATTACAACAGATTATGATGAATCCTGATGCTATCTTTAAAACTATACTTTTAAAATGATTTACCCTTAGCACTGAAATTATGACAGGTACCATAAAAAGCAGTATTTGCCTGTTCTCATCAGAGCCAACTAATAACCTAAAAATCAAAGCCAGCACCTCCAGCAGCTTATTCACAACAAAAGCATACACCAAGTGCATTTCCCTGGGTAGGCACTCACATACTCATTGACAGTCTTTCCAGTTCATTTCTTAAGACCACAGTAACAAAGATGACAGCAACAGCAGCCAACACTGAACAAGTGTTCCCCCTGCAGGGCACTAAGAGCTCTAGCTGCATTATCTCGCTTCATCCTCACCGCGGCCAGCGAAAGGGACAGTGCCAAGATCCCTTACCCGGCAATCCCAAAGTCCAAAACGCCTGAAAACCAAGTGTTCTCCTCAAATGTGGTGTCAACAATCATTTGGGGGCAAAACTGACCTGTGAGGACATTTTTTCTCTTTCTTCACTTCATTTGGTGTTTACATAAAGCATTTAATTACAAGGTGCTGCCCCAGACCCCAGTGCGGGTGCTGTGGAATGTCCTCTCAAGCCGGAATTCCAAAACATACAGAGCTCCGACAGTTTCAAATAAGGATCAGAGAACCAATACTTTACTTCCCAGAGGAGGGAACTAGGTACCAGGGAATGAGAGCCAGAAGTATACAGATCCAATCTTTCTTACCTTCCCTATTTAAAGAGGGCACACTGGAATGGATTCCCTCCAGGGACCAAGGACTGTCCTGAAAGTCCTAAATTATAAGTACTGATGATCAATAATTGTACGTAAGAAACACTGAAAGCAATCAAAGATGGTTCACCTGTAGGGAAGCCTCACAGTATAAAAAGTACTAGCCTTTCCCACTGTTAACTCAACTAGCTTCTGGAAACCTGTTTTGTTCAGCAGTAGGGCCAGGGACAAAATGGCCCCAGACTTTAGGGAATGTGGTTTGTATGTAACTGCAGCTGCAACTGGAACCTATCACATGCTGACAGGAATATATACTGGGACATGGTACAAAAACTACTGAGCAAAAGATCTGTGTATTCAGGGGAGAGGGGCCCTTGCACTTCCCTGGGAAAAAGGAAAGACAATCCGTCAAAGCTCTGGAGCTCAATGGCAACCTCTGCTCCGGTTCTGTCCTGCCCACATTAATATACTGCTCCACAATATTGTCTCCAGGGGAGGACCTTCTTTAGCGAATTATGCTCCATTTATGGATAAATTCTTGTCTGACTCAGAAATAATTATCTTCTTGGTTCAATTTACCAGCTTGATAAGCTCTGAGTGAAAAAATAAAATAAGCAAGTTTTTGGCCCTGTAAAGTGAAAGGGCAGGTCCCAGATTTATAACTATGTATCACAGCCCCTCCCTCTTGGCCAGCCCCTCTGACATCTTTTTTCACTCAAAACTACACAAAGTTTCTCAGTTTTATTTTTTCCTTTTTTTTTTCAGAAGAGGATTCTTTGAGGAAATGATAGAAAGTGACAAAAATTAGAGGACAACTGGAATTAAGTTAGGTTGCCTCCAACCTCTACTATCTGGGGGTAACCAGCATCCAAGACAGCTTCCAGTGATTCTTGCCTCCTGACATTATATTGTCCCTTTCCAAACTAATAGAGGTGGACAGTCTAACCAATAAGATCTTGCAGAAATGACTAAGTCTGACTTCTGAGGCTTCTCCTTGCTCTCCCTTAGATCATTCACTCTCGGGGAAACTAGCCATCATGTAGTGAGGACCCTCTGTTAGGCCTGTGGAGAGGTCCAGATGGTTAGGAACCCACAGCCAGCATCAACCTGTCAGTCACATGAGTCTGAGTCATCTTCAAAGCCCAGTAAAGCCTTTGAAAGACTACAGTCCTAATAGTCAAAATATAACCTCATGAGAAATCCCAAACCAGAAACATCCAGCTAAACCACTTGTGCACTCCTAACACACAGAAACTATGTGAGATAACAAATGTTCCTATGAAAAGACTGGTAGCATTTCAGACCTTTGTTTGAAGGCCTGAAACTGGATTTTTGTCCTGTTTTTCCACTGTTCCAATCTGGCCCTTAGTGCTAGAGATGGAAACTTCTTTCTCAAACATACATAAAGAAACTAGGTTCAAAAGCTGGACAAATCATCAAAAAGATATATTATTTTAACCATAGTTAGTAATAATGGTAACGTTTGCTTCAAAGCCTCCTACAACTTCTCCTTAAAGGCAAATAGTTGTCTGAAATGTGACTTAAAATGCCTTTGGTTTTAATGGTCTGCTTCTTAAAAGGGAAAGACTCATAAAGCCGCTGTGTGGTTTTCAGCTGATCAAGATCAAGGAAAAACTAATCATTAACTCATTAGCTTGGCTACCTCAGTGCCCACTCAAACCCAGAATTACAGCCTACAAGAAGTGGAGTTGAAATTCAGACTTGGTCATTAGCGACCCCTCTAACTCAACTTCCTTGTCTATAAAAATAAATGCTCCATTATTAAGCTATGCCACAGCACCCACCCATTCATCTCCTGGTTTCTTCAGCAGTCCTGCCCCTAAAAAATCACAGAATCTCCTGAACCAGGAATGGCACAGAAAGGCTAGGGCAAGGTTGCTCAACCTTGGCACTACTGATGTTTGGAGCCAGATAATTCTTTATAGTAGGGCCATCCTGTGCACTGAAGGATATTTAACAGCATTCCAGATCTCTATCCACCAGATGCACTAGTAGCACCCCCATCCCCAGAAGTGACAACCAAAAATGTCTCCCAACACTGCCAAGTGTCCCCTGGAGGGCAAAACTGCCGCTGGTTGAGAACCACTGGGCTGAGAGATGGTTGCTTAAAAAACTGGGGTTCTTGCCAAGCTTCTGACCTGGAGTAGGGAGGGTTGGCATCACCTTCTTGTCTAGATCAATATAAAGCAGACTATGGAAGAGCCCCAGGGGGTCAGGTTCCATTTTCAGTCCTAAACATTCCAAGTAGAATGCAGGTTACCCGGCAACCACACATGCTCAAGCCTGCAATAACCCCATCAAGGGGGAGGCTCCTGGCTGAGAAGCCACACCAGTTATTTCCAAGGCAAACCCAGGCAGCCTTTGAATTCATCCAGGGATGATCTGCAATCATCCAAGCATATCTCATGGCCCCCTCTCTAATCTCATCATTCACCCTCCCCTTTGCTCAAATCCCACTGCTCTCCTTGGCTGATCTTTAAACAAGCGAGGCAGTTCCTGCCACCTGGGTCTCTATGCTGAGGGCCCCCTGGGCCAGATATTCTTAAAGCCCTCATTCCATTCAGGTCTCTGCTCAAATGTGCGTCTTTAGCGATCTCCAATTACCCCACGTAATACAGCAACCCCCTCAGGGGACTGACCAACGCATAATATATACCATGTTCATTTGTTTGCCGACTATGGTCTGCCCTCCTCTATAAAATGCTTGAGAAATTCTTGTCAGTATTCCAGTGCCTACTCAGCACCTGACGCGACGAATTTGACAGATGCTGAGTGAGTTAACATGAAAGCGAGTCATCCCTCCCAAGGCCCAGGCTCAGCCCCTAAGGACCCAAGGTTCCCTCCACATCCTGAACCCTTCGAATATACATTTACTCGTCCCCCGTGGGGCCTGGCACCTCTCCCGGCCCGGCGCAGGCAAAGGCGGCCGTGGAGCGGGCAGTTGCGGCATTCTGCAGGGAAACTGCGCGGGGGAGACTATGGCAATGGCGACGGCAGCCGAGTCCACTGACCGATTTGAAGGGCCAAGGCCTGAGAAAGGGCGAAGAGGGCCCAGGAGGTCCGGCCAGGAAACGGAGACGAGAACTCAGGCACTGAGGCCGGAGCCCATGGACACAGGCAGCAGAAATCAAGACTTAGGGAGGCCAGGAGCCGAGAACCAAGGCTGCCAGAGCAGAGAACTGAGGCGTGAGGGGCGCAAAACTGAAGTGACGGGCCCACGGCGCCATTTTGTGACCGCAGAAAGGGCACTGTCCAAGCCCCGGGGGAGGTGCGGACGAGCCCGGCTCAACTCTGGCACATCCCCGTCCCTCCCCACCCGGAGTCCGACCCCCTACGTTGCCAAGCCCACCTGTGTAGCTCATGGCGGAAGCGAACACTGCACCCGAGGAGTCCGGTGGTTGCTCCACGAATCCAACGCAGCGATAGCGGCAACAATCACCCCCGGCCCCTTCTACACACAATCGAGCCCTGCCTCCCGACCGCATTGGCTCGCCCCGGACCCTGGCTTCACAGCTGTTGGATAGCTCCGCTGTCGATCTCAGTGCATCCTCATGCCAGTGGCTGAAGGTGCTACCAATCTCGTGAGAGCCCCGCCCTGTTCCCGCCTCCTGTTATCCAGAGACCACGATGATTGGCTGGGAGACGGCCTGAAGATGGAATCCCGTAGAGTTCGAAGGGGCGGAGCTGTACACTACGGAAAGACTTGAGGCCCAAGCGAGGCGGAGAGGGAGAAAGGCCTGTACCTTGGAGGCCCGCCAGAGGGAGCTGGGTCTGCAACGAAGGGTTCTGCACCAGGGCCGGCTCTTTCACGGTGGGTGCTGTGCCAACCTAGGCTTTTTCTTAACTTCTCTGCCTTCAGCTCCAAAATGAACACGGTAAAGCCATATTGGGATGAAAATTACAACTAAGCGCCAAACAAGATACTGGGCACACGTTCAAACACACAATGTATGTAAAGAAATCAGTCCAGTGCTAAGTGTGCTAAAGAAATGTTGTTTTGTTATCGACCGTTACACAACGATTACAAATATATTTAAATAGCATGTTTACATTATATATGTAATAAATACATTTGTATTATCATATCAAATGCTTCCTCATATCTGCGAGGACACTTTTTGTAAAAATTCCCATTTAATTCTATCCTAGGATGTCCACTGGCGCAACGAAAAAGTAGATTAGATGCTATTAAGAAAGCACCTACTAGTATGTCATGTAAGATGGCAACCGTATTAAAGGAAAAGCAGGGGGAAATTACTATTTAAAAGATAAGAAGACTGAGTCTTGGAATTCATGACTTGCTCAAGGTCCCTGACACTTAAGTGTTAAAGCTGGAGCTTCCCCTCTAAACTCCTCTTGGTTTGTTCTGGACTTTAGAGATCCTACAGCCTAGCCAAGCTGGGCTGTAGATGTGTGTAATCTACTGTCAGAGACCTCTCATAACTTCTAAGAGATGACTTGACAAAGCTGCAGACACTGAAAATTGTACTTAACATGTGTTTGTGACAATTTATCAAGCTGTATGACTTGTGCATCTTGTTTTACTTAAAAAGTATGTTGCAGCTGAATTTCTGATATTAAGGAATTGTCCATTTCTTTAGTTTAACAATGGCACTTTTAAGAGTCCATATCTTTCAGAGAAATATGCTGAAATATTAAGAAATTAATTGATCGGATGACCAGGATGTGTTTCACCATAATTCAGATGGCAGAAAGGGAGGAGGGCACAGAGGGGTTATAGCTGAAGAGTTTGGACATGAGTTTATAACTGATGAGTAGATGACAGTTCATTTTACTCTTCTACTTTTGTATGATTGGAATGCTCCATGATAAAATCTTTTAACTCCTCCAAAAACAGGGCTTATGCGGAACTTGCTGCCACGTAGGACAAGGATCATGATGCATTGAGAAACTACCTATATGAAGCACATAACTCTGATTAATGTGCACTCCAGCTGTGGTGCTCATATCAGTGTCAGGGATGCCTGCCTGTCTGTCCTCCAAACTAAGGCAGGGCCCCAGGACACATCTCCTGGATCCTATAGCTTCCTTCTTGGCATGTACCACACCCATATTTTACCCTCATTTGATGACTTCATTAACATTCAATATTCTGCCTCCAAAAGAGAGGCAGTAGAATTACTTAAAGGGTATGCTCACAAGTTTTAGGAAAAGATCCCTCTGTGGCAAGAACGGCATTCAACCTTTCAAGGACCAACACAGCTATCACTGTACGACTGTGGGTGGGGAGGGGGCTCCCACTTTACAAGTCCTGCTTGTATAGTTTTTTTTTTAACATCCAGCTGGTTATCACTTTTTTTTAAACTAATTTATAAAAAGTTTAAAGAAAAGGTGCCTTTGGGTCAACTCTCATGCCAAGAGGTGCCTCCCCACTTTCAAAGTCTCAGACATGCCCACCCACAGCGTGGGTTAGACTTAAGTAGTAGAGGCCTTCTCTCCACCAGGCAAGACATGTGTCCAGATCTCACACGAGCAGAAAAGCCAAGTGTGCCAGCCAAGACCACTCTTTTGGGCGTGTTATCACAGCTTGTTCCCTCCTTCCCAGCCAGGGGCATGGTGGGGGGGCCGAGGATAATAGGGTTGGGGCAGAGGAGGCCCCTGCCCGGTGAGGTCATTCCCACTTTCCAGCCCTTGGCCATTTAAGTGAAAATGATGAGCTGAAAAACCACATGCAATAAACAAGAAGGAGCAGCCAACAAAATCTCTTAAAATCTCAGAAATGTTCAATAAACATTTGCAGAACGAGAAAATAAATAACATTGAAAAGGAGCCAGCAGCTCTCTTTTTCCCCTCCTGTTAGTCATGTTCAGGCTGCATGTATCTCCAGATAAGTCACATGTCTTGAAGGCAGGCCGGTCCCAGCTCTCTGAAGGCTCCCAGCAGCTGTGTACTTCACCCTCCCCCAGCGAGTCCCCCACACCCTCGTTGGACAGCTCCTGCCCTCGGAGAGCCCTTCCGGCCTCAATCACTTCTTAATCCTGGCTCCCTTCCCAGACCAGCTGCCCAGGGCCCTGGTTCCTCTCCTCAGCTCACAGGAACTGCTTCACCAGCTGGCCAGGGCCCCCTACCAGCCATGGCATCGAGGGCCAACAGCTGAGAACGTGGGCTCATCCCCAGACAGGTCTGGTGGGCTTGGCGGCCAACGGGAAAACCCAGGGCTTCCAGGGGCTTTTTGGCGGAGGCAGCTCTATCCCAGCCCTGGCTGCCAGACAGACAGTGCCAGCCTGTCCACTCGACAGAAAAACACACGCTGGCCGCCTGCCCCGGGGTGTTTCCAGAAGAGAAATTTAATCTAATTTACATACTTCTAGGTACATTGATAACCAAAATGTGGCCACTGAAAAAAGTTAAAAGGTCAATCAGCTCCCGGTTTCTAGCTGGCCCAGGATTGCAAAATAAAAAGATCCACGTTCCTTATTCTCTACACAAAACGCGTTTTTAAAAAAGTGAAAGTTCTAGGGAGCTATACATAGAAAGCAACAGTGAAAAGAAGGAAGGGGATGGGGGTGGGGGAGGAGAGTCCCACCCCCGCCCCCTCCCAGACCCCGGAGCCCCCGAGGCTCTGGGGGGCCTTGACATGGCAGGAGGCAGCTGTCAGCTCTGAGCTCTTCCCGACAGGGAAGGCCCCTCTTGGGGGGCGGCCAACAAGGATTTCCGTGGCATTGTGGGCTCAGTGGGGTGCTCCCAGGCCCTGGCAGCGGGCCGCATAGGGAGCGTGCCTTCCCCTGAGCAAGCACCGTGGCATGACGTGGTCGTCGTTTGACTCGGGAACTGAAGGGCTGGGGCAGATTCCCGGGTCTCACGAAGTACGTGAGTGCGTGCATGCGTGCGTGCGTGTGTGAAAGGATATTCACAGGGACAGGAGGGGACCTTGGGGCTTTGCAAATGGCCACAGATGGCAAACATAGCCCTGCCTGGCTGCTAGACGTGGGAGAGCGCTGGCCATCCTCCCCTGTGAACAGATCGGCTGCCACCAGAGACCTGGCTGCTGCCCCTGCTGAACCGGGTGGGCAGATGGGTGTGGGCTGAAGGAAGATGCCCTGTGTGTGGCCCCAGAGTCCTCAGGCTAGGGAAAGGGTGGCTAGCTGGCTTCCGGTGCCCCGGCTGTAGTGTGCCCGGCCCCTGAAAGGTGCCGGTTTGAGGTTTTGGCTTGCTCCTTTGGAAACGGAAAAGAAAGAGGGAGGAGAGGGAGGAGGAAGAGGAGAAAGAGGTGGCACGAGAGGGGATCTGGAATGCTTTTGTGTTAGGGTGCCTCTGTCGCCGCTGTCTGTGCCTGTGGGGCCTGAGGCTCCTCAGGCGGAGGGTCCACTTTGGAGAAATTCATCTCTAGGATGTGCCGCTGTAAGTGCCGCACCCACTCCTCCTGGATGGAGAGGGGCCCCTGGAATTCCACCTCACAGAACCTGTGTTGGGGAACAGAGAGAGAGGGGGTGGCCACTGCAGTAAGGAGAGGCAGAAGCATAGCCCTGGCCCCGCCCTGAGCATCAGGCACACCTGCTGCTATTCAGCGTGAACAGAGCAAGCCCAGGGTTTGAGGGAAGGGGACCCAGAAGCTAGATGCTCCCCCATGTACGGCTTCCTCTATCCATCATGGGGTCATGGTAGGGTCCCCTGGAGGCCTCTGACTCTATGCTTAGGGCAGTCTGCTGGCTCAGGTGCTGGGTATAAGCACCTCCACCAGCTAACTTCAGTTATGTGCTCTGAGACGTGAGAGAACACAGAGAAGCAGATCCTACCCCACCAGGCCCCAGGACAGCAGGACAGGAGCCAGGGAAAGGGGCGTTTGGGCACTAACTCCTAACTTCCACCCACCCTACTCATGTACCCAATTCACCAGCTCCCTGCCTTCTCAGCCCCAAGGGAGGCCTCACAGGATAGGGGCCAGAGCCCAAGCTCACGGTTCCAGAGACTTGGGTTTGAATCCTACTTCTGACTTGGCCTGTGTGGCCTGAGGCAGGCACCTCACATCTCAGACTCTCAGTTTCCTGGTCTCTGATATATGCATGAACTTTGGTAAGAATGAACTAAGACCTATTTTTTCTTAATGAGGCAGGCACGTGCCAAGTGCATACCATACGCCAGGCATAGTTAAAGTGCTTTATAAATATTTAACTCTTTTAATCCTTGTAACAAATCTATTAGGTAGGTCTGTTATCAACCCCATTTTATAGGTGGGAATACTGAGGCATCGGGCAGGAGGTCCTTGCTCGAGGTCACCAAGCTGGTGTCAGAGCTGGCAATTGAACCCAGGTCTTGCTGGCTACAAAGCTCAGGGTCTTGGCCCAAAGCTCTGAGGTGCCACTGTCTGTAAGGAGCCCTTAGCCCAGGTCCAGTCACACCCAAGACAGCCCTTGAGGCTACATCTCTTGCCTCCACCAGCCCCTGTCCTGTTCAGAGGCTCTGGACAGCCAAGCCCTAGGCAGGTGGTCTCCTTCCCTCCCTCCCCTGGGGGCTCCATACCTGCACTTGAGGGTGTAGATGTTGCCAACAAACTTGACAAGTGATGTCTGGGGGGGCCGGGGCACCAGGGAGGGGACAGGCCTGACCCGGGGCGGAGGTTGCCGCACCTCCTCCAGCTTCTGCTGTAGGTCATTGGCCTCCTCACTGCCCCGGGCCGCAGAGGTGTCTGGAGGGCGGGCTTGCCGGCGCTCAAATTCTGTGGTAGGGAAAGGTGAGAGGAACAGGAGATAAGCCAGAGGGCAAGGCCCCTGAGGAAGTTCCTGCCTCAGCAAACAAGGGACAGATGCTGTGGGGAATTTTAAGTCAGGACAGCTGGTGACTGGACACCTCCTGGACATTGGGGACAGGTGGGATGGAGGATGGATGAGTGAATGGGACAGCAGCTGGGAAAGTGGCTTAAGGGCAGATGTGCGGCAGAGAACCCAGGGGGCAGCCGGGTGGGCCCTGGCAGGTGCCTGCTGCCCTCATGACCCTCCTCCACCAGCACTCACTG